CCCGCACATCGGCACCTCGGCGGCGTCGGCCGCTTCCAGGACAAGCAGTTAGAGATCCTCGAAGTGCGGAGCCGGGGGGCGCCCGCGTGACGTCCAGCCCCCTCCCCTTCCCGGGGCCTCTCTTCTACTAGGGTTGCTCCCCAGAAGTGGCTGCACTGCTGGGCTGGCTGGGGCGGGGCGGGGCGGGGTTGTGGTCCTTCATTTGGGGTCGGGAGACTCCAGGACTGGTGGGGGAGGGCGCTGCTATTTTCTGTCAGAAGCCAAATGCTGGGGCTGCCGGGGTCAGAGCAAGCGCTGGGAGGACGCGGGGTCGCTTCGACGCCTGGGTTCCAGCCCAGCTCAGGCTGGGAGAGTGTATGAAAGCGCCTTAGCCGCTGCCGGAGCCCCCCACTCCCGACCCGCCGCCCCCTACCCACTCCACTCAGGCTCAGGCCGAGGGCTCAGGCTTCGGGACCATCATCCTGCCCCCGGGACCGGCCGCTGTGGGGACAGGCCCGCTTATCTGGCCGCTCCGGGGGCCCGCGCTGGTGTGTGTTTGTGGGAGGAGGATTGGCCCTGACCCACCTCCCCCGAACCGCGGGGGACACAAATGGTAGCACGAAGGTGGGCAACGGCGGGGCGAGATCCCAGGGATCCGGCCCGAGCTCCCCCCGCTAACCCGCTCCCACTACTTCCCCAGAACCGAGGCTGGAACCCAGGCGTCCGGGCCCTACCCCTGCGCTGACGGACGTCCTCTCCATTGATCCCAAGCGGTGCAGGGTGGAAGAACCCCCCGCGCCGGACTAGGCCTCCTGGGACCTACTGTGGGGGGGAGCCACCGCAGAGCAGCCGGCCAAGGGCCGCTCCCGGGGGCGGGGGGGCTGTCCCAGGCTTCCCGGCGCTGAGCTCCCCGGGCCCCCACCCCCTACCCCGGCCAGTCCCGCGCCCAGCCCCAGCCCTGGGCCCCTGCAGCCCCCGAGCTGCGGCAAGACCCGCACCCAGAGCTCGCACCTCGAGGCACATCTGCGCACCAGCCCCGGGGAGTCGCCCCGGGCCAGCAGGGGGCAGGGTAGTGGTCCTACCTGCACATTAAGCCACCAGTGGGGCCCTGAGACCGCCCCCCTCGCCTGGGAGGGGTGTGTACTTCCACCTCCCTGATACCCAGGCCTTGCCCCAGCTCTCTCTGCCTGGATGCCCCCCCAGCCCTGAACCCCCCGCCTGGCTGCATCTCTAGGGGCACCTAGAACCCGGGTCCCAGCTTGCGAGGCCTAGATCCAGCCCTGCTGCTCCTCCTATGCCCCCCCACCTCCCCTCTGGAGGCCTGAGGTGGGGTGGGGTCCTGGGAGGCCGGAGCCCCCAGCCAGCCCACTTGGCCTGGAGCTGCTCCCTGAGCAATCATTAGCAGCCCCTGGGGCCTCTAGCTCCCTCCCCATTTATCCTACCCTCTCTAGTGCAGGTTGGATACTCCTTGCTGTCTCCCAGCCACATCCCCTCCTTGATAGCCAAGGCCTAGGCTGGGGGTTGCCCAGGTGACCCCCCCCCAGCTCTGCCCCAGGTTCTGGGGTGCACCAGGTGCTGCCCAGAGGGGAAACTGAGGCACAGGCTGCAGGACTTGGACCCAGGTAATTGAGAGGCTGCAGAGATGGAAAGGGAACCCAGGTGTCCAGCCTGCCAGTGGGGAAGGTTGTAGGGTGATACTGGTCTTGGGGGCCCAGGGGGGAGGTAGCTGGCTCAATCCTGGCAGGAGCCCGATCCTTTCCTCACTATCCCATGTTGTCAGCTCCCCTCCAGCTCCCCCCCCCCCCCCCCCCCTGCCCCGCCTCCCCCAAGCCGTGGCTCTGTAACCCCTGGGAAGAGATGTGTTTTTGTTCTTAATTTAATGAATAAAGAGGATGTTTTTAGCTGAACCAGGCCCAAAATGGGAAGGGGAGAAGGGGCGGGGGCAGTCCTCTGGTCTCTGGAAGCTTCCAGGCTCTGGCCTGGGGGGCAATAGAGCCTCAAGCAGGGGGTAATTGGGGCTGGGGGTAACTCGG